CCCCAAAACCCCAAAACCCCAAAACCCCGCTGAGAAATTTGTTAATTGAATTTAAACTTAACTTTTGTACTACCCAATCTCTTTGAAACAATCACATTATCATATTCGAGCATCCTTGAGACCTCACACCATGAGTTATCTTCTGGTAAACTACAGAAATCAACAGTTTTTAATGTTCTCACAAGTTGAGAGTCAATTATAGCTCTCATAATGGTGCAAATCATTTTCTTATAAGCTTCTATATCATCTTTAGGGTTGGTTTCACAATTTTGAAACTGGATAGTTTGAAGTTGGATGCCTAAATCAATATTATGAATATACATAAAGAATATATAGTTAAAAATATGTCTAAAACTTGACTATTTTATTACCTTTTGATAAAATTTGAACCGGGCTATTATAATCCAAGAAGTTCTTCGGAAATTCTTGGAAATTAATACGAAGGTGATGAAAATAAATATCCTTGCACCTTCTACCACAATTGATTATTTTTGCCACATGTTTCAAGCCAATTTTGAAATTTATGATACAGATCCTCTTGGCTGTCAGACTTCACATTTTATAAACAAGTCTTTGATATAACCTATTCTTCATGCTAAGAGTCTGATTATAATTCCCAATTATTGTGCTTAATTTAGGATGGCATCCTGAAATAAAATTTGTCTTTGAAAACAAAAGATCCGGGAAATAAGACGAACCTAGCTGCAAGTAATCATATCCATCCACCACATATCCATTCTGACGCAATGATGCTAAATCTTCTATCGCCTGTCTTTTTCAATAATAAAACGACACATATTTTAACTTAAATAGATTCTTCACTCTAAAATACACAACTTGATGAAACCTTTCAGGCTTCATTTTCCAAATCCCCTTATCTTCTAAAGCTTCTACAATTTGTTTGCTTAAGTCCTTCACTTGTTCATCCAAGGACTGCTCTTGCTCCATGACAGTATTCCCAGGTGTGCCTGAGCTCTTTATAAGGCTTGATGGCTCCATTTTGGGTAGGGGAAATTATAATTCAATTGATTTAGAGGTCTTAGGGGTTTTGGGGTTTTGGGGTTTTGGGG